TGTCAGTGATGGGGGAACAGCTGTTACGCAAGCTGTGGCCAAAACAGAAATTGGAGGAATCCAGACAGAGACTGAAACCTACGCAGGTGAGCCCATCTCTGTGGTAGGTGAAGTCAAGGTGATTGTTGCAAGAAAGCGACACAAGAGTCCAGCTACCCTTGATTGCAGTGCGTGGATCCAGGAAGCCCCTACTGGGTAGAAATCGGCTCTCCAAGATGAAACTCAACTGGCCTGCAATCTTCCATGTGAAGGCCTCACTGGAGGAAATAGCACAAGAGATACTCAAAAAGTTCCCAAATCTGACAAAGCCCGAGTTGGGGAAAGCCAACACTGAAGCCCACCTGGAGATAAATCCGAACGTCAAACCGGTGTTCTGCAAACCGCGATCGGTGCCCCTGGCTCCGCGAACGCTGGTGGAAGAGGAGCTGGATCGTCCAGTCGAAGCCGGAATCCTGAAGCCCTACAAGTCAGCACAGTGGGCTGCACCCCTGGTGACATTGTTGAAGCTGAATGGCAAAGTGAGACTCTGCGGTAGCTACAACCTAACCGTAAACAGAGTCAGTCACTTGGAGCAATATCCACTGCCCAAAGTGGAGGAGCTTCTCAACCAACGTGCTGGAGGCCAAAGTTCACAATAATCCACCTGGAACAGGGTGTACTAGCAGATTCTGTTGTTAGAGTCAAGCCAACACTACACAGAGGTCAACACGCAGAAAGGTCTTTTTAAAGCGACCAGGCTGGTGTATGGAGTTAGCAGTGGTCCTGCTATCTTTCAGCGCCACATCGGAACCCTGCTAGCTGTCATCCCAAACCACGGTGTTTCTTGATGACATTTGTGTCACAGGTCCGGACGCCTCTGCACATCTCGCTAACCTGGAGGAAGCATGAGACGACTGGATCAGGAGGACCTGAGGATCAACCCAAGAAAGTGCCGGTGGTTCCTGCCAGAGGTCTCCTACCTCGGGCTGCGGATCGACAAGGAAGGTCTGCACGCAACAGAACAGGAGGTGGCAGCTGTGCGGGACGCCCCAGGTCCTGAAAACGTCGGACAACTGATGACGTATTTCGGCATGCTGAACGACTACAGCCGCTTCTGCCCGAAGCTCAGTGCAGTTGCCTCACCGTTGTATGCACTCCTGAGGAAGGACGTGAAGTGGCGACGGGGCGCAGAGCAGTGGGACGCCTTCAGGGCAACGAAGGTTTTTCTCTCAGAAGCCCCCTGTCTCGGACACTTCAACAGTTATGCACCAGCCATCGTGTCAGCAGATGCCAGCTCCTATAGCCTAGGAACTGTGTTGTTTCAGGTGACACCAGAAGAACGCCCAATCGCCTTCGCCTCCCGCACTCTGAACCAAAGTGAAAAGAACTGCAGTCAGATCGACCGTGAAAGTCTGACTCCGGTCTTCGCCGTCAAGCGGCTCCACAGCTTCGTGTATGGAAGACCCTTCACGCTCAGAACCGACCACAAGCCGCTCCTGGGGCTCCTCGGGGAAAACCAAGAACCTGCCAGAAGCCGTCCCACCACGCATGGTGAGATGAAAGGTCACGTTTGACGCCTACCAGTACCAGCTGGTACACGTCCCCGGCAATGGAGAACAGCATGCAGCAGCCGACGCCCCCAGCCGCCTGCCAACCTCTGAAACGGTGGCAGAGTCTGCAGTAGCTACGCTCGTGGAAGTCATTCAGGTGCTTAAAGCTGTTGATGGACTGGTAACTATGGACGCTGTTCGAGAATGAACCAGGAGAGATGCCGTTCCCTCTGAAGTTCTGCACTACACCCGGTACGGATGGCCCAAGCCGTCAGAGGTGTCGCCAGCTCTCTTCCGTGCCAGTGCCGAAATGCCGGACTGAGTATCCAGGGCGGTTGCTTGCTCTGGGGATGCTGAGTGGTGATGCCACCACGGTGCCGCCAAAGAGCACTCAAGCTCCTTCATGAAGGGCA